TTGTCACCAAAGAAACTAAAGGTTTGTAAACTTAAAAACCGGTAATTAATTTCAATGTAATAATAATATTAATTTCATTTATACTGAACAGCCAATGATACTATTAATTTCATTTTAAAAATTAACTTGTTTATTATACTATTTTAAACCTTCTAATACTTGTACTGTGCTATTACACAAAAATACCTTCTTATATACACAATTTTATGAACTGGTGCATTTTTAGTGTAGATAACCTTTAAATTTTGTAAGTTATTATCTCTTGTAATTATATCAGCGTTTAATTGTGCAATACAATCAATACCCTGAACATTGGGTTTGAATGAAGTAATATTTTTGAAAATCTTTGATATCAAAATTACGAAATTTATTGAAATTAACTTAAATAGCACTATTAACTTTATTTTAAAAAATAAAAAATACTTGTTTAGTATAATGATATGTTATATTTTATTATGTGATATTCTTAACTACTTATAGCACAATAATTTGATTAATTATTATATACACCACTAATTTGTGGTGCATTTTTAGTGTAGACAATCTTATGTTTTGTTTTCTATTATCTCATAGTATCAGTCCATCTATTATTAGTGCAATTCAATGTACCATGAAGATTTAGTGTTGAAATGACGTAATATTGATTATTTTTTAATAAATGTCAAAATGATAAAACGTAATAACATTTCGATAATTGTTTTATTTAGAAATAATAGTTTAATACATACGTTTCATAAAATGATAAAGCAAAATTTAATTTATATAGGTTTTATATTTTATTCATTAAAAAGTAGGAATTTATCGTATAATTTAGCAAATTATTGAACTTTTTTAAGCTATTAAAATAATGTAAACTCAATCCATTAATAATTTAGTTGATAAAATTTAATACTTGTCAATGACAAGTTATCATATTTTTACTTTTCCAATTCCAATTATATGTAATTTAATTACTTTTCATTAAATAAATGTAATAATAGTACATAGAATAGACATTGAAAATGATTTCTCATAAAAATCTAGATATACTGTATAATTAATTAATTAATAAGATTTAGATTTTTATTATTTTATTGTATGATTAATAGCCATAACAAAAATTATATTATATTACTAAAATCTTTAATGAATACAATTTTTTAAAACTTCTTATTTATTTTATAAATTTTTCAAAACATAGTTTATGATTATTAAATTTTAAAATATTACATTTACAACAAAAGCTAAACATATTTCAGAGAGTATTAAAAGCACCGAAATTATAGACGAGTCCGCCGTCGACCACCAGATTAACGCCGGTTATGAATGTGGCGTCACTTGAGGCCAGGAATGCCACGGCTTTGGCGATATCTAATGGTTGTCCCAATCGCTGGAGTGGTGTTATTTTCTTTGCCATTTCATACATAGGGTCCAACTTTTCACGTGTTTGTATAGTGCCCGGGCTATTGTCCAGTAATAAATCATTTAATTTAAAAATTCAAAAAAATATTAAATAATAATAACCTCAAAGAGTTGACACGAATGCCTTTGGGACCCAATTCAAGGGCCAGTACTCGAGTCATCATATCTTTTGCGGGGCCGGGGATTAGTGCCTGAGACAGCTATAAATGATTATATATATTATAAAATTAATTTCTCACTATTATATAAATATCGGTAATACCGGAGCGATGGCAGCAATGCCCGAGATATCAATGATAGTTCCGTTAGTTTTCTCCAAATGTGGAACCGATTCGTGGATCAGTTCGACGACTGCTCTCAAGTCTATGGCGAAGAGCTGATCCCAAACTTGCATTACGTCTGTTTGGGTGATGTTTAGTGTCTTAATTATACCGGCGTTGTTCACCAATACATCTAATTTGCCAAATGTTGTGACAGTTTGTTGAACTAAATTAGTGATGACACCGGCTTTTGTGAGATCTCCAACCACTTCTAATGGCTGTTCAGTATAATTGAAAATTTAATATGACTTCAAATTACAATATTGTTAGATGTTATCAATAAATTTTTAAAAATATTTCAATTTTTATTATTTTTAATTTTATACAAACTTTTAGTTTCTTTGGCGACAATTCCTGCACTTCTTTGGCGACTCTCTGGACTTCCGACTCTGTCCTACCGGTGACCACAACATTGGCCCCTAATATAGAGAACAGTTTTGTGATCCCCTCTCCGATTC